TCCACACGACTGCCACTCCAGCTGGCAGCTGAGGTCCTTCCGCTGGCGCCGGCTGCGCCGCGAGGTCCTCCATGTCCACCGGTACCGGCACGTCTGCCGGCTGTGGATCACCGCGCTCGAGGGCCTCCGGCACGTCATCCGGGGCCACCTCCGCCAAGCGCTTCAGCCGCGACCTGGTCGCGGTCATGTCGACATCCTCGGCGGCCTCTGCCGCTCTCACTGCTCCCGAACTGGAGCTCGCTCCTCCTGAAGGAGCCGCCACGCCGGAGCCTGATGCTCCCGGCTGGCTCTCTCGCATGCGCGCCGCTGCTGCTGGCGCTGCTGCCGATCGGCTCGCGGCCGGCGCCGACGCCGCCGCTGCCACTGGCTCGGTGATCCTCCGAGCCGTCTTCGGCGGAGGGGTCCCTGCCGCGGCCGCTGCCGCCGGGCGGACTCTGGCCTCTTGGCCCTGCCTCCGCTCTCGATACTGGCCGGTCCTCTCCCGGCCTGCCTCCTCAGCGTCCAGCGCTTCGAAGATTCTCTTGCTGCACACCGCGTTGTGCGCATGGCCAGCCAGCACCTTGCCGTGCTTGGCGATCGAGACGCACCCTGGGCATCCCGGCGTTGCGCCCAGCCGCTCGACGTCCGCCTTGAGAACGTACATCCTCCTCGGCGCCTGCGGCTGCGGCGGCACCACCACAATCGGTGGCGGACCGGCCTCTCCCGGTCCGACGATGGCTCGCGGCGCACTGGCCGCACGCGGAGCCACGTCCCACGGCAGGCCCTTCAGGCTGTCCCAGCCCGCCGTGATCCACTTCTCGCTCTGCGGCAGGCTGCGAAAGCCGACCGCCTTCTTCACACCGTCGCTCGTGATGACCATCATCGAGCCGTCGCGCGGGTGGTGGCCGATGTAGCGGGCCTCCACCATCTGCTCCTCCAGCGCGTTCTTCCTCGTGCGCTCCCCGGCGAACCGCACCATCAGGCGCTCGCCGAAGAGCGGGACCGGCTTCCTCCACTGCCGTCCCGTGAGCCGCTGAAGAGCGGTCTTGCCGTCCTGGCCGCGCCTGTATCGGTTGATCACCGATGCGGCGTGCTCCGGCAGGTGCGCTAGCACTGGGTGCTTGTCCTCCACCTTGACGCCCAGCTTGGACTCCAGGTCCATCTTGAGCGCTCGCACCTGCTTCTTGATCTCGCGCACCGTGACCTCGATCTCCCCATTGGCCTGATGGTCGGCCGGCGCCGACTCCTGGGGAATGGCCTCGAGGCCAGGAACCTCCTCCACCGCGCGCCTCTTGACCAGCAGGATCGCTGGCTCGCCGTCGGACTTGTTGACGATCTTCCTGTAGCCCAGGATCCGTAAGAAGCGTGCGAAGAACTTGATGGCGTAGGCGTCGTCGCCCTTCTTCTCCACGAATGTCGCTGCCATCATCTTCGAACGTCGATCCCTAAGGACCAGCATCGGCATGGTGTCCGCGTCGTCCTGGCCCATGAAGGCGTAATCGGACGAGACCACCGGCACCGCCGTCTCGTCGTCCTCCGGTGCGCGGAGATGCGGCTGGCCTTGGCCCTTTGCCGCAATACACACGCGACACCAGCTGCGGTAAGTCGCGTGTCCCATCGCCTCGTGCTCGGCGATCTCCCTCTGAGAGGGCTCATGAGGTGCCTTCAGCACCCTCGGGCGAGCCTCCTCCTCGCCCTCGTCGGCCTGCTGTCCATCAGGAGCAGCTGGCAAAGCGTCAGCCGCCGCAGCTGCTGCTGGCTGAAAACCCGGCGGTCTCATGTCGGAAGGTCCCGACCCCGCCGCTGCTGCCCCTGCAGCCGATGCCGCAGGGGACTGCTGTATTGAGTCTTCCAGTGGACTTACGCCGAGGGCTGCCTCCTGGGGACTGTCCTCTCGAGGATCTCCAGCAGCTCCTCCTTCGACTTGCCGCTGAGTAGCTCCACCAGCTCGGACTTCGACTTCGCCGAAAATCCCTCCTCGAGAGGAGCAACCGAGCCATGTTGGCCCTTCTTGAGGTAGAAGTTGTAAACGCCCTGCTCACGATAGACCGGCAGCATCTGGTGCTTCGCCGTCTTCGCCTCCTTCTCCAGCATGCCTACCACACGCTTGCCGATTGGGCTCTTCTCGTGGAATATCCAGCCGCCATTGCGGCCTAGGAATGAACACTGTCCAGCTCCTGCTGCCTGCCCCACCGAGATCAACGGCTTGTGCACGTTCGTCACGCGTCCCTTGAGCGCTCGTAGCACTCCGTACTCATCCTCCGCCTTGAGCTGCAAGCTGCCCTCGTCCGGGACAAGCTCACCACTGGCCGTGCGATACGTGCTGCCGTTGCCCTTCAATCCCGTCGGCGGCGCGAAGCTCCGAGGGAATGCTGAGACCGCTGCACCGCTGTCCCAGTTGAACTTCATCCAGTCGTCCTGCGCGAAGGGAGAGAGGTCGACCGCTGCTACGCCGCGGCCGCTGCCGCCGGCGAGCTCCAGGCAATCCAAGCTGCCCATATCCAGGGCGGCGACCTCCGCTTCAGGCTCCTCCTCCAGGCTGCCTGCAGCCTTGCCGCCGGCCTTGCCGCCGCGGCCACCACCTTTACCACCAGCGCTTGCCCCCGTTGCGGATCCAGTTCCAGCCCTCGTACTCGATCCCTGCTCTTTCCTCCAGCATTCGGATGCCTTGTGGCCCCATCTCTCGCAGTTCCGACAGTAGCCGTCGAAGCGCACGCCGGTGCTTCGGGGTGCCGTGTGCCCGGAACCACGGCCCGAACCCGTCGGGGATGTGCGGGAGCCTGAGTATGATCCGCTCGTCGATTTGCTCTTCCCCTTCGTCTCCGGGGTCTTGCCTTTCCCTTTGCTCTTGCCGTCCTTGCCCTTGCCTTTGCCTTTTCCTTTCGGGGCTCCGAACGATCCGACGTCCATGTCGTCCGGATGATGTGCCCGTGCGCGGATCGATGGCTCCTTGATCTTCACGCCTGTCCGAGCCTCCACGATCGTCATCACCTCGTTCAGACTGTCCTGGAACGTTACGAGCCGATGCTTGTTGAGTACGAGGTGGTTCTCGATGTCCTGAGGCACGAGCATCTCGAGGGCCGCCATCTTGATATCCTCCGGCAGCTCGGCCAGCCCGTCCTCTCCTTGGCGGCGTTCGTACTTGCCTATCTGCTGGATCCATTTCTCTAAGGCGGACCCCAGCTCTTCCGCGTTGCACTTCGGAGGCGAGATGATCGACCTCAGGATCAGCCTCTTCCTCGGACCTGTCGTCGGGTCCCACCTGCGGTGAAGCTTCCGCCAGGCCTCGAGACCGTTCCCGTCGGGTGCGCCCGTCACGAGGTCGTTGCTCTCGCTGCCGTCCGCCGTCGTGCTGATCAGCGCCGCGTACAGCTGGTTGATCTTGGTCACCAGCTCTGGTACTCCTCCGCGCGCCTCCTGTGCCCCTTCGATCGTCACGGGGCGTTCGGCTTCTGCCGCCCACCGGAGAACAGGACGGAAGCTCTCTCCGTACACGCCTATCACGTAGTTCTCCATCTTGCGGTTCCAAGCTCCGAACTTCTCCTGATCGTCGCCTAGCGTCGTGGGCTTGCCGATCCCCTTCGTGTCGACGAGACCTGGTGCGGCTCCTCCCGTGCTCGACGCGCCTCTGATCTGTTCGCCCATGCGCTCGATCGCCTGCGGGATCGCCGCGAGGCCTCCTGCTACTTGTTGCTGAAGCCGCTGATTCTCGTTCTCGAGCCTCCTCATCTCGTCGACGGTCTGACTCATGCGGGCTGCGAACTCCTGCCTCAGTAAGTCGAACTGCTGCCGAACTTGCTCGTCCATGTTCAATTGCGTGCTTCCTGGCGAGCTCCTCCTTGCGTTCTGAGATCTCCTGCCTCGTACGCTCGAGGTCTATGATCTGATCTAAGACCTCCTTCTTCGCCTCCTCGATTGCTCCTGACGAGTTCTCCGAGGGATGGTCCTCGATGTACGCGAGGTCGTGCAGCTTGTTGCCCGTGTCCTTCAGGCCGTGTTTGAACTGCAACTGTCGTCTTCGATTCTCGACAGCTGCGTCACTCCTCTTGCCGCGCCTGCGGCCGCTCTTCGGTGGTCTCCTCTCAGCCTCTGCCGGTGGTCCGGCCTCTGCTGTGCTCGGTGCGGCTGATGCCGCTCTCTTCCAGCCTCTCGCCTCGGGCCACGCGCCCTGCCAGCTCGCCGTGGCGCTCGCGCGCGCCGCGAGGCCCTGATGGGTCGCAGCAGTGAGTGGCCAGCTCACGCTACCATGATGAGATAATGTGTTGATTAGCAACAAGATCTCTTTTCATCTTGAGCCAAAATAGGTACACGGAGGAGGGTGTCAGAATCAGCCCCTGCATGGCCTCATAACGCGCCGCTCATTCCCAAGAACTACGTGGTAACCGCGCCCGGGGGATGTCAAGGCCTTCGCCGAGCGGGCCTCAACGTTGCCTCAGAGTGATCCCGACGCGGGCCAGGAGACCCCGCTGCAATCGCGCCCAGCGAGTGGTGAGGCTCTCCCTGACGGGGCTTCTACGCGGCACCAACGCGGCATCAGCACGGGCCAGGACAGGACAGGACAGGCACCAGATACATCCCGAAAGACGGCACACTAGGAGCTCGGCGGGGGCGCAGGAGCGCCGAAACTCAGATGAAGTAGCAAACGAAATGCCAGCTGGGACGCTCAAGTGTCGCAGAAATCGTCAAACGCGTGATCTTGGAGGCGCGCCGCTTGCGCACCGCATTTCAGATCGAAACTCCCTTGCCTCCCTCTCCTCCTCCTCCTCCTCCGCCTCCTCCTCCTCCTCCGCCTCCTCCTCCTCCTCCGCCTCCTCCTCCGCCTCCTCCTCCTCCTCCTCCTTCTCCTCCCCTCCTTCTCTCCCTCCCTCCCACCTCTCCCTCCCCCTCTCTCTCTCTCTCTCCTCCTCTCCCCCCTCACCTCCTCCCAGCCCCCCTTGCGGGCCGCCCCAGGCCTCGGGCGCGGGGACTGGCGCCTCCCGTGCGGCGGGGCAGCCCCTGCAGAGGTGGGGCGCTCTCCGTCCTCAGAAGAGAGCGCTCGCGGGCATGCACCTGGGCGGACGCCGGCGGCGGCGGCCGCGGACGGGGGCGGGGGGGGGGAGCGGGGGGAGAAGCCAGGGCAGGTAAGAGTGGGAGGGGAGGAACAGAGAAGGAGAGGGAGGGAGGGAGGGAGGGAGGGAGGGAGGGGAGGAGCTTTTGTTTTTGTCTCTGCTGCTCCTTCACCGCAGCGCACGCGCCGCGCTCCACAGCCCATCGGCTCGTCAGGGCGCGCCGCCCGGCGGGCACGCGCCCCATTGGAGGAAATTTGAAGAAATAGCAGAGGGGCCGCAGAGAGCAGGGCTGCACCTAAGCAGTGTTTTTCGTTTTCGTTTTGTTTTCGGTTTCCCTCGTTCCGTCTCGAGTTCGCCTCTGCTGCAAAACGGCGTCGAAACGAAAACGGCCCACGAAATCGCCAAAGCACCGCTTAGGTCCACCCCTGGCAGAGAGAAGCACGGGGGGCGGCAGGCGGGGCGGCAGGGCACGCTGGGAGACGGTCGGCGCCTCCCTGGCGCGCGGGCGACAAGGCTCGCAGCAATCACCGCCCCATGAGGCCCGCCGACGGCCCTGCGCCAGGCGAAGGGCCCACCCAGCACACCGCCGGCAGCAGCAGCAGCAGCAGCAGCAGCAGCACCGCGGAGTGGCAGCAGGGGGGGCACGCAGCAGGGGGAGCGCGCAACGACACCAATGACGAAGGCAGCGGCAGCACAGGGGGGCACACACAGGGGATACAAGCACGGGGGGGAGACCCCAGAGACAAAGCAAATCCCCACTGACCATCAGCCGCACTCCCTCTCCTGCGACGCAGCATTGCACCTCAACGAGGCCTCGCGCAGAAAGAAGCGCCTCGTACTTCGACGAGGGCCTCGCGCGGGCGGGGGGGGAGCAAGAGATACCAGTGCACGACGGAGAGGCGCCGCACTGGCGGATCGGGTGCAAGGCCGTCATGCGGCGCCTCCCTAGTGGCAACTTCCCTTCCAGCACGTGTCGACGAGGATTCGACTCACACACGGACAGGCGGCGTCGGGCGGGGGGCGTTGCGGACAGCCCCCCGTGTCCAGGAGAGGCGAGGGGAAGGGCAGGAGCGGCGGCCGAGAGAGCAAGAGGACAAGAAGATAAGTTCGACAACGTTCAATGACACCGCGGGGGGCCCTTGGCTCAATACACCAAAGGCAGCAATGGCAACTCAACGCAAATCAAAACAAAACGACGCAGCGTTCCACGAAGGGGGGGGGCAGTACGCGGCAGGGTCCACCGACCCCATTGGGCCCACGGTCCACGCCGAGGCACTGATGCAAAGACCCACCCGAAGGCAGAGAGGCACTGGCAGCCAACAGGACGAGGGCAGGCCAGGGAAACCTCTACCTGGGCAAGGGGGCGCAGCAACGACCAGGAGGCGAAGGGCTGGCAGCTAAGGTGCTCTCATCACTGGCACGGTCGGCGCCGCCAGCGCGAGAGGGGCCCCATGGCGGCAGCCTGGCGCATTCCCTCCATGGCAGGCAAAGACACAAGAGATACCCCAAACAGCAGGAGCAAACGAGGGGCCAAGCAGAGAGGAGAGGAAAGGGGGGGAACCCACACAAGGCGCGGGAGGACAGCACAACAGTTTATGAACACGAGATTTAGCCTCTCCGTCTAGAGCTACGAAGCACAGCAGCAACCTTCTTATATCTCCTGGAACTTGGCTTCAGACGAGTATGGTATAGCTGTGGCGGGATCAGAACAATAACAAGGCGGTGAGGCGGTGGCGGGCGCGCGTCTTCAGGAGGGCGCCCATGCAGGCAGCAGAAGCAGCAGCAAAGTCCCGAGCAATCCCCCATTCCGACCCGAGGAGCACGAGGGTATTGGACTATGGGTCCTCACCATTCACCTGATGCTTCCACGTATCTGGGAGATTCGTGGCCCCCAGGATCCGCGGCAAAGCGAGCGACTTCAACTCCGCACACTGCTTAGAGTGAAGCATTTCGTCGGGCAGATGCCCTCATACCGCGTCACGCCGTAATCGTCGTTCGTCAGGTGATAGTAGCTCTTGAATTGACTGAAGTGCTCCAGCGGCCCGCGGCGACGGTGGTCTATGAACACGCAGCACCTGGCCACTGCTCGTGCGCCTTCCAACAACCACCCGACCAGCTGGGTCTCGGCAAAGCGAGCGACGGTATCCCTGAACAGGAGTCGCGCTCACAGTGGCCATAAGCCTGCAAGGTTAATCCGTCAGAGGCGAGCTCGGCATCCCACATATTATTCGGCTCCCTCCTCCCTCCTCCCTCTTCCCTTATTCTCCTCCTCCTCCTCCGCCTCCTCCTCCTCCTCCTCCCCTTGCTCCTCCTCCCCTCGCTCCTCCTCCTCCTCCTCTTCTTCCTCCTCCTCCTCCTCCTCCTCCTCCTCCTGCTCCTCCTCGCCTGCGTATAGCACTCACGCCCGGTCCTCGACGTGCCGGGGCGGGGCGGGGCGGCCATGCTGGAGCGCCCGCGCGGGCGCCACCCGCCGTGAGCAGCCCCGGCACACCCACGAGGCCCCCCCACGGACGAACGCCCGCGCCACCCGGACCGCCGCGATCACGCAGCGCAGCGCCAGCAAGATCACCTCCAACAGCTCGAATGAGTACAGTCGGACTGGATTGGAGAGGACACGCGAGAAGACAAAAGACCCTTTCCGAGGGGCACACTGCCATAGGAATGTGGGAGGCATGGGTCGCGAGGCACAGGACACAAGGGTACCCTTGACTTGGCAGGGTCGACCTACTAATCAGGGCCGACTGTAGCGGAAGCGGTGGCTTCCGGCACTCCCCGCTCTGGTTCTGGTGCCGCCTCGTGGGCACGGGGCTCAGCAGGCGGGCCAACACGCTCAGGCACCCGCGGGGTGAGAACGGCCCTGTGGCGCTGGTCCTCCGCCAACGTCGCCGCTGGCCTGCAAGGGGTACGTCGGACACTGGAGAGACGGGCACTTGGGGAAGATCACGCCTGCCTGGCACCCAGGGCAGACCAGAGTGGGACAACTTGGGCCCGGTGGGGCGGCTGGGCACGGGTGGGATCTCCACCAGTGGGTCACCAAAACCAAGCTTGAGCACAAATAGCAGCATACACCGTCGTTTCTGCAACGGCCCCCTTCCGTCCAAACCCTCGCAGAAAACTCCAGGCACGCCAGAGCAATATCGGAGGTTGGGGGGTGAGATCGCAGTGAAACGGAGACCCCCCACCGGGAAATCGGTTTCGGTTTCGTGTTCGTGTCGTGCGTGCGGGCGAGGCGAAGCTGCGCGTGATCCTCCTGTAGCTAAGCCGAAATAGGAGCGAAAATCCGTTCCCGTCCGCCGGAGGCTGGGAAGTGTCCCAGCTGGGCTGGGCGGTGTCCCGGGTGTTCCGGGTGTCAGTAGGAGCGAAAGTCCGTTTCCCGTCCGCCGGTGGCCGGGAAGTGTCCCAATTCGGCCGGGCGGTGTCCCGGGTGTCCCGGGCGTCCAGGCGCTAACGCATGTCGCTAATTTCATAAATCATTTCTTTCGGCGCCTGCGGCGGGCTTTCTTATTTAATCCAGTTGATCTTGTCCAATACATCTTGTCCAATGCAATACATCTTATATTATCCAACCCATATTGTCCCATCTTATCTTATCCCACCCAATCCAATCCACCCAACCCAATCCATCAATTCATGTGTTTCTGCGCCTGCGGCGGGCCGATCCAATCCATCTTATCTTATCCAATCCATTTCTTCCAATCCAACCCATCTTGTCTTATCCAATCCATCTTATCCCATCCAATCCAATCCACCCACCCCAATCCATCAATTCATTTTTGTCGGCGCCTGCGGGCGGTGTCCCGGGTGTCCCGGGTGTCAGTAGGAGTGAAAGTCCTTTTGCCGTCCGCCGGTGGCCCGGAGGTGTCCCAGTTGGGCCGGGCGGTGTCCCGGGTGTCCCGGGCGTCCTGGCGCTAACGCATGTCGCTAATTTCATAATTACCTAACAGCGAAGACTGATAGGTTTCTAGTGGTATAAAAAGAGAGCAGCACATTACTCCACAGGGGGGTCTGGGCAGCCGTTGGGGAGCCGTTGGGGGGCCGTTGGGGTTTGCCGGGGGGGATCGTTTTTCGCATACAGTCACACACTTCGTGCTCTTCGACTTCCCAGAACTCCATTCCCGGGCCACATTCTGAATGCCCGGAGCCAACTGTAGGCCACTTCGTGCTCTTCGACTTCCCAGAACTCCATTCCCGGGCCACATTTTGGATGCCCGGAGCCAACTGTAGGCCACTTCGTGCTCTTCGAGTTCCCAGAACTCCATTCCTGGGCATGATTTTGAATGCCCGGAGCCAACTGTAGGCCACTTCGTGGTGTTCGAGTTCCCAGAACTCCATTCCTGGGCATGATTTTGAATGCCCGGAGCCAACTGTAGGCCATTTCGTGTTCTTCGAGTTCCCAGAACTCCATTCCCGGGCCACACTTTGAATGCTGAGGCAGGCTGATGCTGAGGCTGAGGCAGGCTGAGGCTGAAGGCAGACTGAAGCTGAGGACGAGGCTGAAGGCAGACTGAGGCTGAGGCTGAAGCAGGCTGAGGCTGAGGCTGAGGCAGGCTGAGGCTGAGGCTGAGGCAGGCTGATGCTGAGGCAGGCTGAGGCTGAGGCTGAGGCTGATGCAGGCTGAGGCTGAGGCAGGCTGAGGCTGAGGCCAAGGCTGAAGGCAGACTGAGGCTGAGGCTGAAGCAGGCTGAGGCTGAGGCTGAGGCAGGCTGAGGCTGAGGCTGAGGCTGAGGCAGGCTGATGCTGAGGCAGGCTGAGGCTGAGGCTGAGGCTGATGCAGGCTGAGGCTGAGGCAGGCTGAGGCTGAGGCCGAGGCTGAAGGCAGACTGAGGCTGAGGCTGAAGCAGGCTGAGGCTGAGGCTGAGGCAGGCTGAGGCTGAGGCTGAGGCAGGCTGAGGCTGAGGCTGAGGCTGAGGCTGAGGCTGATGCAGGCTGAGGCTGAGGCAGGCTGAGGCTGAGGCCGAGGCTGAAGGCAGACTGAGGCTGAGGCTGAAGCAGGCTGAGGCTGAGGCTGAGGCAGGCTGAGGCTGAGGCTGAGGCAGGCTGAGGCTGAGGCTGAGGCTGATGCAGGCTGAGGCTGATGCAGGCCGAGGCTGAGGCCGAGGCTGAAGGCAGACTGAGGCTGAGGCTGAAGCAGGCTGAGGCTGAGGCTGAGGCAGGCTGAGGCTGAGGCTGGCTGATGCTGAGGCAGGCTGAGGCTGAGGCTGAGGCAGGCTGAGGCTGAGGCAGGCTGAGGCTGAGGCCGAGGCTGAAGGCAGACTGAGGCTGAGGCTGAAGCAGGCTGAGGCTGAGGCTGAGGCAGGCTGAGGCTGAGGCTGAGGCAGGCTGAGGCTGAGGCAGGCTGAGGCTGAGGCTGAGGCTGAGGCAGGCTGAGGCTGAGGCAGGCTGAGGCTGAGGCCGAGGCTGCAGGCAAACTCAGGCTGAGGCTGAAGCAGGCTGAGGCTGAGGCTGAGGCAGGCTGAGGCTGAGGCTGAGGCTGAGGCTGATGCTGAGGCAGGCTGAGGCTGAGGCTGAGGCTGATGCAGGCTGAGGCTGAGGCAGGCTGAGGCTGAGGCCGAGGCCGACGGCAGACTGAGGCTGAGGCTGAAGCAGGCTGAGGCTGAGGCAGAGGCAGGCTGAGGCTGAGGCTGAGGCAGGCTGATGCTGAGGCAGGCTGAGGCTGAGGCTGAGGCTGATGCAGGGTGAGGCTGAGGCAGGCTGAGGCCGAGGCTGAAGGCAGACTGATGTTGAGGCTGAAGCAGGCTGAGGGCGAGGCTGAGGCAGGCTGAGGCTGATGCAGGCTGAGGGTGAGGCTGAGGCAGGCTGAGGCCGAGGCTGAAGGCAGACTGATGTTGAGGCTGAAGCAGGCTGAGGGCGAGGCTGAGGCAGGCTGAGGCTGAGGCAGGCTGAGGCTGACGCTGAGGCAGGCTGAGGCTGAGGCTGTGACTGCGACTGCTGTTGCCACTGCGACTGCCATCGCGAATGCGACCACGACTGCGAGAACAGCAGAATTTTACAACAGGATTCTTATCTGAATCCGCCGACCCCTTGGGGATCATCGGCGTGTGAGATGCTTCCCCCTCCCCAAACCCCTCCCCCGGGAGCCCGGTCCGGTCGATTTGGAGGGGGGGGGGGGGTCCGGCACGAGCGCAGCACGGCCGGGACGAGCGGTTCACGGGGCTTTTCCGGGCCCAAGAGGGCCTCAAGACGGGCCAAGAAGCCCCCAAGAGGCCTCCAAGACGGCCCACGAAGGCCCCGAGACGCCAAACGACCGCTCCAAGACGCCCAAGATGGCCCCAAGACGGGCCAAGAGGTCTCCAAGACGGCCCCCGAGGTCCCAAACAAGCCTCCCAAGAGGGCCCCAAGAGTCTAAAATTGTTGATTTTCCATAGTGTTTTTCGATGTTTTTTGCTTTTCCGCCTTTTCGGCTTCCCGACGCTCCAAGACGGCCAAAGAGGCCCCAAAGACAGCCCCAAGATGGCCCAAGAGGCCCCCAAGACGGCCTCCAGACGGCCCAAGACGGCCCCAACACGGCCCAAGAGGTCCCCAAGACGGCCCAAGAGGGCTCCAAGACGGCACCAAGAGGGGCCCAAGAGGGCGACCAAACATGTTGAAACTCTAGCTTTCTGCCCCCAGGAGCCCCAGGGGGCCCCAAGAGTGCCCCAAGAGGCCCCCAGAGGCCCTCACGAGGCCGCCCAGACGCCCCAAGGAACCCCCAAGAAGCACCCCAGAGGCTCCGAAACGGCCCCCAAGTGGCTCCAAAACTCGCGGTGTCGCCGTCCGCTCGGACCCCCCCGCGGAACTGCCCGAGACCCTCTGGCGGTGGCGGCGAACAGACACCAAACAAATATCACTCGCCTTTTCACCCCTTCGCAGCTTCTACTACCCCCAGATTGGCATAAACAAGGGGTCGGCGGTGTGGCGTAAGCCTAAGAATCTTAAGGGGAATGCTTCCAGATATGCTCCTACACATCGCTGTTAGGTTGCTTTGCCGGGATAATTCATTTTTTCAGCGCCTGCGGCGGGCTTTCTTATCCAATCAAGCTTATCTTATCGAATCCATCTTGTTCAATCCAATACATCTTATCTTATCCAACCCATCTTGCCCCATCTAATATTATCCCACCCAATCCAATCCACCCAACCCGATCCCATCAAGACAGAGAGAGAGAGAGAGACAACAGAGAGAGAGAGAGAGACAGAGAGAAAGAGAGATGAGATCAAGGTGACAGGCTGGAGGTCAGCCAGGGTGGGCATTTGATCTCAATCCCCCCCCCAAACCTCCTTATCGCCCGCAGGGCGGTCGTATAGGTACTCTTCTTCCTATATTTCTACAAGCGCCACCCCTCCCTCCCCCAAACAGGCCCCCCCCGGATCCGTGGTTCTGGGGGGGGCCCTGGACGCCCCTGCAGAAGGCCACCCAGGCTTGGTTCCTGGAATAAAAGAATGAAGCGTTGTTTGCCTCTTGAGGGCCCCGTGGAACCCTCTTGGGGCGTCTTG